TGTGTTCCTAGCATAAAGTGCACAACCAAAAGAATATTTTACAATTTTTTACATTCACTGCGATGCAAGTGATTATGGAATTGGAGCTGTTATGGTACAGTTGGATGAGAATGGGGATGAAAAACCAGTGGCATATATGTCAAAGAAGCTTAATTCCGCACATCGGAATTATAACGTGACAGAAAGAGAGTGCTTCCAGCTTGGTCTGGTTAATGAAGCAACAAGACCTTACGGGTAGACTAGAGATGGGTTTTAAAACTCCAAGGCTTCAAATTCACCTTCTGTCACCATAAAGGAAAAGACAATATAGTACCTGACGCTCTGTAACGTATCCACTGTGCTGAAGTTAATGGCGTAGATTGTATTGAGCCAGAAACTGATTTATCATCTCCACATTTTAAATACCCTGATTATTTAGCCACCAAAAATTATTGAGCAAGTACTAGAGTGCGAAAATTCTGTATAAAAGTTTTGTTGTTGCTTAGGTTGACTAAAGTGATTACTTTAAACGTGTAAAGGTCCGCGCTAGTGAGGTTTGCTGACGAACATGCTATTATTCACTTTCAGTCACCACCTCTTGCGAAAATGCGTAAAAGTGACAGATCAGAATAGGTTCTGTGTATGTCTACACTTACAAAATTCGTTGTAAGTGTAAACTTGACAAAAAATTACTTGTAAGTACGATATTTCTTATTGAAAAGAATTTCAAATACGAAACTAAATGCTATATGTATGTTTATTCCTTGTCGTTACCAGATTAATGAAATTATCCCTGAAGAAGTTCGAAAGTCCCAACGAAACGTCAGCTAAAAAAATTAAATAAGTAATTATTTTTTTCATTGATCATTAAAGAAATCGTACTGCTTTCTATTCTGCAGACTAATACCATCACATATCTCAAACTCAACAATACCTTCAAAAACATTATTTACTAACGACAAAATAAAAAAAAGAATTCACGAAAATAGAAGGGAAATTCCACATGAAACTGCTCAACATAGAGATAAAAGAAACCAATTTAAATATAAAATACACAAAAATATTCATTAATCAGATGGGCAAAAACTAAAAATCGACGATGCAGATGGAAGTATACGACAATTTCAGAAAAAGACAACATACAAGATACCAGTATTTAGCGTCAAACAACCGAGAGATACACATATCAAAACTGACAAGGTTGAATCAGAAAGGCATGGAATTCTGTGCTTTTAACTGTAACCCTTCATGGTTTGAACAAAACAAACATCACCTTCAATAATGAAAGAATGTGGCTATTACCATTGGGTCCGAAATTCGGAATACCGATCAATAACAATAAATTTTCATCAATACAATTAATAGCAGATTTGGAACAATGGGTTCAAACTTTTGATGATGATAGGCAAAAAGACATAGCAAGAACAAAAATAACAAAAAGAATATTGACATACAAAAGAATAAACAAAACTAGTCAAAAAGACAAATTCATACTAACAGCATTTGAAGAAACCCGACAAGTTCTCAAAAAATACAAAGATGAAATCGTAGTAACGAAAGCAGACAAAGGCAACAAGACGGTTGTGATGTACAAAAAAGATTACAAAAAGGGAATGGAAATTCCACTCGAAGATAAAACCACATGCAAGAAAGTAAGATCTGACCCAACACAAAAATTACAACGAGCAAACAATAAAATTATTATGGAATTAAACAAGAAAAACTACATCACTTCACGAGAAAAATTTATACTTACAACACATGCATCTAATGCACCAAGGCTTTATGACCTTCCCAAAGTCCACAAACAAAACATGCCGCCGAGACCAATATCGTCGTCAATCGAAGTCCCATGTTATAAACTGTCAAGGCGTATTGGAAATATACTTCAGAATATTATTGTTCAGGAATATAACATAAAAAACTTCTTTGAATTAAAGAAAAAGCTAGATGAAATTTCTCTTGACGACGACATAGTAGTACACTTCCACGACAACATACCGATTCATTTAGCTATTAAAAACATAATTATTTACTTTAATTATTACTTTAAATACAATGAAGACTTCTACACACAAATATATGGTATGCCAATGGATATTAAGTTAAAATTCCAGACGAAATTTGTAGATGACATGCTCGCAATAGTCACAAAGGGAGAAGAATCAACAATTTTAGAGGCACTTAATAATTATTATACTAATATAAATTTCACAATAGAAATGGAAGAAAAGAACTGTATTCCTTTTTTGGATATAAAAATACGCATGAAAACACACTACAAACAGATTGGTATACAAAAACTACAGCATTTGGAAGAATAATGAAATTCCATTCAACACAATCACTTCAACTAAAGATTAACACCGAAAGTAATTTAATTAGAAAATTTTTAACAATGAGCCACGAGCAATTCAAAAACAATAATATCACAAAAATAAAAGAAATTCTTAAACAAAATGGTTATACAACCAAACTAATACAAAATCTTCTAACTAAAATATACCAAACTGAAAACAATAACACCCCTTCTGGCAACACTAAATACCAGAGCATACAATTCATTTCACGACTCACACAATCAAAACTAATAAGACAAATTATCAACGAAACCGAAATAACATTGGCACATAAACCATATCAAACAATATTCACATTATATACGAAGACAAAAAACAAAATAGAAAAACTAGATCAAAACAATGTTGTATACGAGATTAAATGCAAAGGAAATGAAGAAGAAAAATGCGGAAACAACGACATATTGAAAAGAAAACAAACAACAGCACTGGCGCAATACTGAATGGACAATAACCACAGAGCTGACTTTGACAACATAAACATACTAGATAAAGAGAGAAAAGAAAATAAGAGGTATACACTAGAGAATACAGCAGAAAACGGATCGTGCAATAAACAGCAAAGAAGACAAAGATAACACCAATGCAATTTATACATTGGCTAAATTTAGTCGTATTTAACCATCTGTGATATTAGCAATTAGGAAATACTGAGATATTTAATTTTTAATAATTTTACACTTATTTATAAATATTTAAAATAAATACCCTACAATTAAGAATACCTAAATGTAAACTTGACAAAAAATTACTTGTAAGTACGATGGTTCTTATTGAAAAGAATATCAAATACGAAACTAAATGCTATATATATATGTTTATTCCTTGTCGTTGCCAGATTAATAAAATTATCCTTGAAGAAGTTGGAAAGTTCCAACGAAACGTCGGGTAAAAAAATGAAATAGGTAATAATTTATTTTTTCATTGATCATTAAAGACTTTATAGCCCAATAAGAAAAGCCCCAAACACACAAAAAAAAATCCACAAAAAAAAAAAAATTCTAAGCATTTACATAATATTGTCTTCAAATTGTAAAAAATATTGTTTTAACCGACAAAGAGTAGAAAAGCGTTGGCTCGATACGGTTCATTTGAATTGGTTTCTGCAAGTTTGAAAGTTATATCTCTTCTGCAAAGTATTTAAAAAATTTACCATTATGTAGAAACCTGCAAAACTCTACATTAAAAAGTCGGAAAGTTCAGTACAACCAAACACCGATTAATATGTGAGACTGTTTCAACATTGTGTTTCTATACTGTCAAAAATATTAACAAGTAACTACACTTTACGTTTAGCCGGTCAGAACTTTTGTACCCATAATAACTGATAAACGAAACCTTTAAAAATAAACGAATTTGGATTAAAACGATCTTTAGACTGCAAATACCTGAAAACTCGGGTGGAGAACTGGAACCAAATTTGAAGCATCTATATTGAGAATGTGGCAAAAATCATTAGAATTGCCGATATCGGGTAGTACTGTTATATGGGGATCATAGAAAAACGTGGACTTATATCGACATGTTCCGTCAGCTCACGTGGATCCCACTACAGAATATAAATGTAGAATTTTAAACAAGTCGGTTAGAAAAATTGGTTGAAATCATAATATATCGATATATCAGGATGCACCGTCCTCGACATAACAAATCAATAATACCGAAATTTATCCACTTTTGCCAACTCCCTCTGTTTTTGGCCACATTTTATATGAATTCGCGACATTTGCGTCGTTTCCATTGTAGAAGAATACAGGTATATGCATCAACGATGGGGAGCATTGATATAACAAAAGTTTTAAAATGTTTTTTTTTTTTTTTTTTAAGTAATTTTTTATGTTTTCATATTCGACGCCAATCGAATGTTTTTATAATAAGCATTTTTTAACAATTTTAATGAATTTACGTATTTATTATTCACAATTTTCAATGCAAAATTGGTTTGACTGTTCATTGTCCCAGCAGCATTGCCGATGCGACGACCTGTATTATTCTACCATAAAAATGGTCTGAACAAACGAACAACGTGGACGCAAGTTTTACCTGGCAATTTGTGCTCCTTTTTGTCCTTGCGTCTGCGTCCTTTAGAAACGATGAAAATACACTTACAGCAAACTATTCTTCCTACAAACCTTGCTAGCTTCATTTTTTTACTTTTCTTAGCCATACAAAAGCTAGCAGCAAACACAAAATATACGTTTCTTTTAAAATCAAATTAGAATTGTTTGTATACCATTATTTTTAGCAAATAAGTAAAAATTGTATGATGACAGATTGTCATTTTTTACGGCGAATTCCGTAAAATGCATGAAATTAGCTAATCAGAGGATCTATTTAATAGCTCTTGTCTATGACATAATTGGTCAATAGGTAATTGACAATAGGAAACAACCTAACATATTATAAAGTTATTAAGATTTTTAATGGGTTTCGAATGGATATTTCATATTTTTTTAAATACAAATTCAACACATATACTTAGAACGCAACATTTTTTATTTGTTCGATAATTGTCCGCCATCAACATAATAGCTACAAACTTTGTATGTTCTAGCGTTTAGCTATTGAAAAAATATTTAACTCAACGATGTATGAGACTTTTAATCTTAGTAGGTATATACGTGCAATCTTTAGATTCATCTACGATACATATTTTTGCGCAGTCGCTAAAATGGGAGCCACCCTTTTACATTACAAAAATATATGGTATTGCGTTGTGAAACAGCATAAAATCCCTTATTAATCGCTTTCATACTTACTTATTTTATACTGAATTCGAGTATTTTTCTATTACGGATTGGAAAAAATGTGTATTTTATCATGTATATACATAGCAAAAATATAAATATGTTACCAAAAAGGTTTGTGTAATTTTTGTGCTTAAGTACCTGCCTTTATGTTTGTGCATATAACTATGAGAGATATTTAAAAAGATTTTGGAAGCATACATGTATGACAAACACCATCTATGAGTATAATTTTTACTCAATATATTGTCTGTGGTCGCTTGGATATACAGCGAATAATAATTTGAAATTATTTGTTGCGGAAAATTACCCTTTTTTGTTGGCTCCATCATACTACCATTGTCGTTCAATATATATATATATATATACTTGGACCTTAAACCTAAAGCGTGATTTTTAATTCGTTAGGGCCAGAAGAAATAAATAATTTAATGAACTATGAATTGTGCAATATGCATTCAGTGGTAAATTAAGCTTTAGGGGATACAGTAGATAGATGAAAACCTTATGTCAAAATAATGAGGTGGGGAAAACTGAAAAATAGAGAACAGGGACAAACTTTCAGACAGGCAATCGCTAATATTAATGATGAGGATGATGAGGAGAAATAGGATTTTAAGAATTCTTTAAAGTACAAGAAAAAATAATATAAGAAAATGATACAAAACAATTATTTTGGAAATATAACCGGAAATCCAAAGGTACTTAATTTTAGAGCATCGATACTGGTAAACTTGATATACATTTGTTCACCAAGAATGATATTCTTTGTAGAGAAAATCATATCTGACCTACTGGAAAAGGGAATCATTACACATAGTAACTCCTCTTATGCGTCACCTACCGTGCTAACAAAAAATAATAACGGGGAGGAAAATAGTGTATATTTATCTCAAAGTAAGCTGCCAGAGAGAGATAATTACCCCTTATTTATTATCATATTCCAGGAATTTGTAACAGAAATATTTAATGACTTTCTGGAAAGAAACGAAATTGTTATTTACATGGATGATGTTATGGTGGCATCAAGAACCCACGAGGAGCATTTAGAGATTTTGCGAAGAATACTAGATTCAAAATAGTACAATTCTAAATTCAAATTCACATATATAAAGGGATAGAGTACTTTAGATATAAGGTTTCTAAACAAGACATTGAGCCCTCGGAAAGCCACGTGAAATACCCAATACCGTCCGAGAGATGCATTCATTTCTGGGACTCTGCTCTTATTTCCGAGAATTTGAAAAACGGTAAAGGGCAAAATACAGGGTGAGATTAACAACTGCCACAAAGTCAAACGACATCAGTTTTACATTTTTTATACCTTCCACCATAGTATGGAGGGTATATTAAGTTTGTCATTCCGTTTGTAACACCTCGAAATACACATTTTAGACCCCACAAAATGTATATATTCTTGATCAGCATAAAATTCTATGTACGTCCGTCTATCCATCTACCCGTCTGTGATAATCACTCTAGCTTCCGAACGAATTGAAGCAGATTGATAAAATTTTACTCAAATGCATATTATGTCTGCAGGACTTTTGGTATTGAAAATTGGCATGTAGGTCTACGTTTTGGTATAGCCCCCATATAACGGTACCTCCCGATATTTGATATTTTGGTGATCTGAGCCACATTATTCTCCGGAAACGTTTCAAATTTCGTATGTAAAGTTCGAAATGGATACTACAGCCTAAAACAGAAAATTGTATGAGCAGGTCCATGTCTTCGTATAGCCTCCATATAACGGTACCTTCCGATATTCGGTACTTTGATGATTTATTTACCAAATTTGGTATTTTATGTTACGACAGAAAATTGTCTGTGCAGGTCCACGTCTTCCTATAGCCCTCATATAACCGTACGTCCCGCTATTCGGTATTTTGATGATTTTAGCGACATTATTCACCTTCATTTATTTAAATTTGGTACTTGAAGTTCGAAATGGATACTACAGCCTAAGAAATTTACAGCCAAGAAATTTTCTGTGCAGTCCACATTCGTATACCCCCCCATGTAACGGTACCCCCCGATATTCGGTATTTTGATGATTTTACCAACATGATTTTTTTTAAGTTTCGCATTTGAATATTGTAATGGCTTATTACAAAACGTACCTATGCAGGTCCATATTGTTGTATAGTTTTTTTTTTAATTTTATAGAATGAAAGAAAAAAATGTCGGAAATAGCATCAAATTTTAGAATAAGTTTATATTTGTTCGAATCGTTCACATTTTGCACGAATTATGGCCTTCAAACGGCCAATGAAACCGTCACACGCTGCCCGGATGTTGCTTTGCGGTATTTTGGACCATTCCAGGCGAAGCGCTTGCTTGAGGTGATCGACACTTTGGTATTTTTTAGTGCCAACCTTGCTTTCCAAAATACTCTAAGTGATTGGTATCCGGAGATTTTGGTGGCCATCGGCTGTTATGGCGGCCCACACCATCACCATGACCGCCGCTTGCTTTTTGGTGGCCAACCGTAGGTGCATATTTTCCGTTGACATCTTTGGCAAGTAAACACGATTATTTTGTTAGTTTACAAACTGCTGAACAACAAATGTTTTCTCATCGGAGGAAACCAAATTCGGCAGATCACCCCTTTCGACCAAGCGAATCAACTCATTAGCTCTTTTGAGTCTAATTTCTTTCTTCTTTACCCCGAGCTCATTTTTCAATATTTGCCGAATAAAATATTGCGATATGTTCTGTCACAAGCCATTTTTCGGCCACTGCAACGCGGGTTTCGATCAAGTCGCTTCTTTACTTTTCGAACAATTTCTGCTGATGTTGCTGTTTTCCGCCGTCCACTTCCTTGACGTCGGGCTACGCTACCAGTATTACGGTAACGAGCGATGGTACGAGACACAAAAGATTTATTCACATTTAAATGCTGGAGTGCTTTAACGATAGCCAGTTGTGGTTTTCCAGCCAAATATAAACAAATAACACTATCACGCTTAAATTCCATCACGAATAACTTTTTTCTGGAAAATGCTCACCACAATGCTTTTGTACGCTTGTAAACAGTAATTTTATTATTGTTATTTCAAAATATTCTGATTGAAGGGGCATAGACAAATTAAATTTAAGTAGGGAATATGATGACTTATGAAAAAGGAGTTGACATAATTTTAATAGTGTTGTTTTTAGCTATTATCGTTTTGGAAGTATTTGTTTTTATGGCCAAACATCTTCAGTCCCTTTTTAACAATGAATCGTCTTATAAACGAACAATATCTACAAATCATTGATACCACTCTATTGGGAAATATCATCACGAGCTTCTGTCTTTAGAGAATCTCATTTTTAGCTTCTTAGTAAATAAGAAGATCAGGAGTGAAGATCAGCCAAAAGCATTACGAAAGCTGCCGATGTAAAAAGTCACTATTTTTAGGGGTTTTGTTAAAACTCATGTCTATACAGAGGAGCCCGCTTTATCGGTAGACAACATTGAAGAATTTATTTCGTAGGTACCGGCCGAAATGTTGGAAAGAGTATGAAACAATTGAACTTGTCGCATGGATCACTTGAGCAGTCGCGGCCAACATTAGCATGAAATAATCTTCAAAAATTAGAGTATACATTTTTCAGAATTGTATTTTTACATGCACATCATCCATAGTGCTTCTATATTAATCCTATAGTGATTTATTATCGCGACTTTATTATTGCTAAAATTATTTTTTATTAATCATATATGATAATATATGATATTAATTCATAATAATCATATCAATTCATAAGTTGATTTTTATTTAACATGGAATATCGTCCTCATTTCGGTATAGCCACTATTTAATGCCATCTCTTAACATTCGTTGAAAAGGTTTACAGTATTGCAGAACCTTTTCCCAAAATAATCCATTTATGTTGGTGCACAGGTTTCAAGAGCACTTTCGTGGATTTTTAGCTTCTCATGGGATGAAAATTTGCATACGGTAGTAGTTTCGATATAAGCCCCATGTAGCATTGTCGACAATTTTATTTGTTTGAATGTCTTAGAAGCCTCTTCCGACTGAAAGTACTACAAATTTCGATTTTGAGATGTAAATATGTAGAACGCATCATTTAATCATCAAAAATCGAAATTTGTAGTATTTTAAGTCGGAAGAGGCTTCTGAACATATCGCAATATTTTATTCGGCAAATATTGAAAAATGAGCTCGGGGTAAAGAAGAAAGAAATTAGACTCAAAAGAGCTAATGAGTTGATTCGCTTGGCCGAAAGGGGTGAACTGCCGAATTTGGTTTCCTCCGATGAGAAAACATTTGTTGTCCAGCAGTTTGTAAACTAACAAAATAATCGTGTTTACTTGCCAAAGATGTCAACGGAAAATATGAACCTTCGGTTGGCCACCAAAAAGCAAGCGGCGGTCATGGTGATGGTGTGGGCCGCCATAACAGCCGATGGCCACCAAAATCTCCGGATACCAATCCGTTGGAGTATTTTAGAAGGCAAGGTTGGCACTAAAAAATACCAAAGTGTCGATCATCTCAAGCAAGCGCTTCGCCTGGAATGGTCCAAAATACCGCAAAGCAACATGCGGGCAGCGTGTGGCCGTTTGAAGGCCATAATTCGTGCAAAAGGTGACCGATTCGAACAAATATAAACTTATTCTAAAATTTGATGCTATTTCCGACATTTTTTTCTTTCATTCTATAAAATTAAAAAAAAAAAAAAAAAAAAAAAAAAAAAACTGTACAACAATATGGACCTGCATAGGTACGTTTTGTAATAAGCCATTACAATATGCACCAAATTTGAATAAATGAAGGTGAATAATGTCGCTAAAATCATCAAAATACCGAATAGCGGGACGTACGGTTATATGAGGGCTATAGGAAGACGTGGACCTGCACAGACAATTTTCTGTCGTAACATAAAATACCAAATTTGAAAGAGTTCCGGTAAATAAATCATCAAAGTACCGAATATCGGAAGGGACCGTTATATGGAGGCTATACGAAGACGTGGACCTGCTCATACAATTTTCTGTTTTAGGCTGTAGTATCCATTTCGAACTTCACATACGAAATTTGAAACGTTTCCGGAGAATAATGTGGCACAGATCACCAAAATATCAAATATCGAGAGGTACCGTT